TTATGACGATGCTTGATGGTCAAATGAGCGTGTCGTTTCCACATAAACCACTTGTATTTATTGGAACTTAAAACCCACTAATACTATTGCGACAGTTACCTGTTGATTTATCTTTCCTTTGTAGGTTATGAAATTCACTTTGGTTCGTTTTCATCTTGGATAATCTTGCCTTAAAAACATTCTTTTTAAGGTTTGTAACAGAATACATTGCTTCTAGTATTTTTCACTGGCTATTTTTCCCCAGCAAAAAGTCTTGTAGCGGTGTAAAGAGCACGTAAAACATCGCAATGTGTTTATCGCGAAATTGAAACGTTCGAAATACGGCAATCTTAGAAGTAAGAGAAGTGGTGCACACCCAACTGTACACAGAGCTATTTTTTGTGACTGTTTTGAAAAATTCAACGCCTCCTTTGGGTAACTCTGTCCCTTGTTATTTGCACGTAACGTGGACACGCCGACAGTGATTCGCGATTAATAATGCAGAGGTCCGCCAACATATATGTTCGTAATCAACAATATCGCAAAATATCCAAGCAGTTAGTCCGAGACATCGGTACGGTTTTAGTACGCGTAAGTGTTCCTAAAACACCATATGCTGGTCCAAATCGCTTATCACTGGGAACAGAGTGATTGGGAAAGCAACCAGATCTATGTAAACAGTGTATAGAGATAGACACTGCTATAAGCTATAAACAGGGAGTTGTGTGCAAAGAATTGCCAGAGTGTGACAGTACTTTAAGAAACATTATCTCAACCAATATATTTTTTAAGAACATCTGTGTTGCTGGCAGCTAAATATCTACCCTCACTGTCGGTCGTCCGACAGCTAGTATTATTGGTGAGATTTAATGTACATTAAGTATCTTAAGTAATGGTGACCGTTTGTTGGAATGAGGTTTAGATTGCCGTCTATTTCTGACAAACATCAACTCTAAACATAAGGAGAAACACCATCTAACGTAGCGATCTCCACAATCGACTTGTCGATCACATTACCGTTACCCATTGTTGGTGTTCGACTGAATACTGTCGCTCATTCTGGAGCAAATGTTTAGACTCAGACCATCTAGTCCGAGCACATATTTGTCTAATGATGAACAACTAGAGGATGAGCTAGCCAACTGTTAAATGATGTCCATTCCGAGGTAGGTTGATATGATATCCAGTAAGCTGCGAAAGCAGCAGTTATATCTTCTAGTAACTTAAACCAAAAAGTTAGGAAAATTAATGGATTTCAGAGGCGTCTGTAGCACTGATAGATGCCCATAAACTAATCCCATCTGACTCAGCACACGATGGAGAGCCGAGGCCGCCTTAACATATGTCGATCAAAAGCTTACATGATGATTGTGAGCAGTGGTGGGTAGCGAAAGCAAAAGAGATGGAAAAGGTAGCAGCGACGGGTAACAGTAGACAACTGTTAAAACCTACCAAAGAATCGGGTGTTAGTGAAACTCCCCCGGAGATGGAACCAATCGTAAAAACACTGAGCAACAGTTCAACCAGCCCTTACCCACACTTCATCTACACACTATCTCCAAGTAACCTGATGTAAGTCCTCCAATCCTTAGTGAGGTTTAAACGATTATAAGTAATCTGAAGCGAGGGAGAGCAGCAGAGCCTGATAGACCAACCCCTGAAATTTTTAAGGATCGTGGTCTAGATTTAGCAGTTAGACTAAGTGGGATCTCAGCTAAAATATGGGAACTGGACATAATCTGACTGGTCTCGATCGCTGGTCGTCCCAGTTTACAAGAGAAAAATCTGGCAACCACAGTGTCTAAAATATTACTTCGACGTCTAACTACGGCAAATCCAAGAAAAACAGGCTGGTATCAGACCTGGGCGTGGATGTATAGGACGAATATTCACTCTTCAGCAAATCCTGGGAAACAGGCACACTTTTGGACATCCTACTATAGTTATATTGCTTGACATTAAGATAGCGTTCGACTCTGTTGATCATGAGGTTCTGTGGCAGCGTCTGTCATTGAAAGGTGTACCAAAGAAGTATAGGCTCTACTGGAACACCACTGGTCGACTCAGAGCTTACGGCGAAGTGCCGTCGAAACTGGTTGCTTCAAGTAGTGTTCGTCAGGGTTGTCCGCTTTCTCCACTTTTATTTAACTTCATAAGGAGATCTGATTTCTCAGGGGTTTATCTTCTACTAGATTCATTTGTTGACTCAAAATTCACAGATGTTTTATTTATTTGAACACATAAACATTGCTACAAGGTAGCACCGAACAGATATGCGCCACATAAATCATTCCATTTATGTTAAAGCTGGGATACTGCCCTGATGCCCAAACCAAAGTAGGCGGTTTTCTTGGAGGGCCACACCCGGAGCCTTTGACCTCAAGGTTTAATCCACAAGGCAGTGGAAAACGTCGAGAGATGCAGTCCTATGGTAGCGGATGACCAACGATCGGTTCACACGCCATTTATTTCTTCAGGATCCTGGAGCCCATGTACACCATTGGTTTAGAATCAGGGTTCTCCAACCCCCCTAGGTGGATCTTTCATATCCAACAACCCGGTTAAATCGCCGAACATTCGCTTTTCGTCTTCTCAATTTCGTAGACAAAAACTCCGTCACGAGACAGCGAGTAGGACTTCCCTGGCAGTGGTTGTACGCACGTTGTCATTTGGGAGCATTTCGAGAGAGCTGACTCGCCTCACTCTCGGTCGTACCAGGGCATTTGAAGTCACTGACGATGTAGTTTTCTGACCACCTTAAGAAACAATGCATGTTCGGGATGCGATTATCTTTCTCCAAATGAAAAAATAATACTTCTACATTGGCTTATATGGTCGCCTGAATTAGTGATAAGGAGTGATGTAGTTGCATGCATCGACCGCCTTGCTTATCCTGAAAGTCATATCAGTACTGATGGTCATTATGAGTAGAGAACATCCTCAGGTTAGTGGTATTTGATTATAGGTGTCCACGAAGCATTGCTCATGTATTTCGGGACCACAGATTAAACAATGAGTTAGGAATGCAGTACTAGGTTGAGACGGAAAATTGATTGATGGGGTGGTTCTCCAACTAAAGTGGTTGGGACATGTGTTACGTATGCCCCACCACTGCTTACCCTGTCGAGCGATGTTGTCTCGTGCAGGAGCACGCCGGGAAAAAACTAGGGGTGGTCAAACTAAAGCATGGAATCAATCCATGAGGTCACTGACAATTGGACTTGGCCATGTTAACAGGTATGGACTACTGATTGGGGCCTACATTATTATCGCAACCAATGTTCAGAGACTTTGAATGACAAGGCTCGAAATCGTCTGCAATAGCGCAGGTGCATTCTCTCTTTGTCTTCCCCAAATTCGACCGATGTACAGGCTCTACGTTGTTATGGACTGAAGTAGCATATTAGCATACAGGTTATACATACTTGCGATGGGGATGCGGGTTGATGTAGACGTAGTTCCTAGGAGAATTATCGAGGTACTGGAATTTGTGATTACTGACTGGAAATTCAGCCACACATCAGATTAATGTGATGGTTACACTTGTCGAACCCTACAATTTTTTTCAGTGGATTATAGGATTCACAAGCAGTTAGCTAGACAACACCTATCTAGAATAATCTCTAACCAATCGGGTATACAGGTAATATCAGGCACGAAACAAGACATAGGTCAGGGAAACAACGAAAGACAAGGGACGGAATCTCTTCGCATACTTGCCAAGAATAGTTCTAGCTGGTTAAGGGGCACCCCGGAGACTGCAATAATATATTTCAGAGCAGTCGTTACCAACCTATAAAGTGGTGAGGTCTTTATGACGGGATGAATGCCTGAATAGTTGTTTTTGCAACAGTCTTCTCTTGGACAGAAATGTTAGTGATCTCTTTGCTTTGGCTCTTCTACATTAAATAAGTAGAGAAACTCTTCTTCACATTAGAGCGTAATCAGGGGTTAAACCGGTGCTTCAGAAGGGGCAAGTCTCCTACCGAACCTCTCATGTTAGTAACTTGTGCTTAGTTCGCACTCGTTGCAAATTTCCACTGAGATAGTCTTTCCCTATGTATGAAGCTAATGCTCGCTAGGGCTGGACGTTTGGATGAGCTTGTATATAGCAGAAAGTCACCACCGCCAGTTAGCCAAGCTGAGATATCGTAGGATCCACCTCCATCCAACCGCTCTAGCTAAGAGAAAGCTACTATTGTTTTCTAGCACCTGTGATATCACCACTGTTTTTTGGCCTGTCTTCATAATTTCATCAGGCTGCGGCACTCTAACCGACAACAGGTTTAAAATCACTATTATTAACTGAAATCACCCTCGACTTCTGTTCGGAGTTTCATCTAGTGGTCCGTTAGGAGAGTAATGAGACTGTATCATGCGGATGTTAAAGACATCGAGAGGATGTGGTTTCGACAGAATTATCGCTAGACAGATGGCCAATGTTCAGGATTACTTGCACGAAGTGACTAAGCTATGGCAGATCGAAACGAGGTTGTACATCCCGTGATCACTAGATAGAACTATATTAACCCAACTTTCTCATCTAAGATAGCGTTGGGGTTTGCCTAGACCGACACTTTGAAATTCACAATATACGGATTAGCACTAACTGTCACACCATCAGTAGCACTTACATTAGTATCCAAACGCAAGACGTAGGTGATGCACGTCGCAAGCCAACAATGTTTCTTAAGACCATCCGACAAAAATGGATTACTTCGAGCCGTAATGTGTGGTTTAAAAAACGGATAACATCCTGGGGCGATAACAGGAAGCAATTATATGTTCAGATCCACATTCATGTCTGTTATTACCGCTTGCAGTACAGAGGTGAGAAACCCTAATACATCACTTGATGCAATCAATTCATGGACCTACAGAGACCGGTCTTCTTGACACCAGTATGATATAAATGATCGAGTGGTTTGAAACTGCATGATCTGAGTGAAACATCCGGAATGAAAAACGAACTACTTAGGACCATGATGTTACGACTAATTTCGATTATCTGAGCATAAAATACTTGATAACAAGGTTTATCTAACCCCACAATTTAAATAAGGTTTATAGCACTGAATGAACTATTTAAAACACGCAATCAACACCAACAAAGCATATCAAAAGTACTCTGACGTCCATGAAATTTGTTTGATAATTTATTTTTTGTGTTCTACAAAGGCTTTCTTTTCTCTTCTTTTCTGTTCCTTGATGAGTTGTTTGAGGACTTTTTGTTCCTCCATCATGAAAGCACGAATAATCCTATCAATCACTAGGATGAACATGAAACCTACCGATTACGGACACAAGTATGACAGCGCGAACCGCCATATGGCCTGTTAACAGTCTTCAACCTTTTACTCATTGAGGTTCTTTCACGCGGTCTGGACGGTTTGATACCGAAAAGTTTACTTTTGCAATCGCCACATTTTGGAAACGTTCCACGTTTTTTTACATAGATGTAGACAACCTTGCCACCTGGAGTTTTGACTCTAAAACAAAGATACTCGTGATATACCCATACAGAATAAAAGAACTGTAGCACATGCACATTCATTACTATTATAATACATTATTCCATGACCAAACCAAATACAGATTGTTCTGGAAAACTTCACGCAAAAAGCATTGTATGAATTAGCCCAAGATGAAATTCCTTCAATATACGTCCACATACTAGCTTAAAATACATATTTTAAGCAATGGGTGGGAGGGAACTTTTATTTCATATATTTCGCAAACGATATTGAAAGACAATGCCACGTTGCTCATAATTTGCTGACTTTCCATACGTCGTTAAGAGAAACAGATAAGTAGACACCAAATCTTATTGCTTTTAAGAACTAATTCAATCCACGATCATTTAGTGAAATATAGGACGTAGTGTAAGGAACTTCCATTAATCTTATGTTCTTAAACCACTGATGTGGTCCCGGTAGCTAGCTACTTAGAATACTACTAGCGATCAGAAAAACTTGACTCTGCCTTTATTAGCACAATAGTTTCCAATTAAGGTATGCCTAGTTGTCAGTTGATGCAGCTGGCAGATATTTCATTCTAGTACACTAAATCAATTTGACTGACTCCCATGGTTACAAGATGTGCATGTTAAAACTAATGGAACAGAAGGTTGGATCGATGTGGTAAATAACGGACAGAATATTCAAGGGAGTGGGCTTCAATTACACCTGACATGTTCCAGCTAATTTATGATTGGTACACTTCGAACACACTGCCATGTAAAACTAGTATTAATTAAAAGGCGGTGACGTTTCCGCACTCAATAACGTGGCAATAACTGGAAATGAGTCGAAAATTTAACATATTTATAATAAGTTATACGAATATTCGTCAAGATTAGAACGAATAGTTTGACAGTAATTGAGCGCCGAGTATAGAGAAGTCATTATATGTAAAAGTTCAGACAAGTCAGTTGGACGAAACGTTGGAATTTGTTAAGTTCCAATCGCTGAGAATATTTTAAACATAATTTTTACATATTTGTAATAAGGTTTTAGGAACATAGTTACACCTGAAAAACCAAAGCGACATAATTAACAAGATTCAGCTGAGCCAGAGGGGACACAATGTTTTTTCAAGTTATGATTTGAGTAAAATAACCGTCTGATCGAGTATGCCAATTTAGAACAGAAAATGTCAGCCATGAGATTACCGTGCCAAAGCCCGGTCAGTACAAGGCTATTATTTTAACCCTCATAATGGGCTACAGAGGGTGAATTGGAAAAACGTTTGAGTAAATAACACTCAATAAGTAAGAACTCACTTCTTCCTCTTGTTGGAAACGGTGTTATACGACAACCTACGCCTTAAAGTCAACCGCTGCATGCTTGTCAACCAACAATTGTGCGAAAAACATGAGGGAATACAAACAAACAATACACTGTTCAATATAAATCAGTTAGTTTCCATTTTATGAAGAATGGAACAGTGTGTCTATGTTGGCCTTACTGGTGTATTTCTTTCACTTAGTTTAAAGTATCTTAAAGAGGTTTGCAAAAGGGACTGTGACAACATTTTTAGGTAACAAGTTTCATTTGCTGATAATTCTGTTGGAAAATAGATAGAAAATCACCGGCGTATGTGCAGCCTGTTAGACTTGGTTGAATATCACTTTTACTTCTGACAGTGGGTGAGTTTAAATTATATACCTGGGCTATGGTCATCGTTGGTTTCATCCTGTTTTCTAACTTATAAACCACTCAACTCTGTCTACTAGATCGCTAATTTCAGTAAGTAACTGAATACCCAGTAGACAAGAGTAATCTTACATTCTCTGCAGACAAATAGTTCCAGGTTTGTAAACTCTTTGGAGTATTCTTGTTAATTTTTCATTCTTCATGGCCTGAAAAATTAGCTCTTGTCAGTTGGAAAGTAATCATTAGTTTATAGGAATACACGTTATATTATTTTAAGTTTTCCAGTTTGCAGGAACGAGGACCAGTTTCTTCAATTGAATTTTTCGGAGAATACTCTATACAGTAGCTTGAATGGCTTGACATCTAAGTGATTAAACACTTCACGTACTGCCTAAAAGATTATGAATACTTTGACTATACTAAATAGCAGCGTGCAGAGGTTTCCAAGCTCTGACTAATAGTACGACCACGTTTACTATGTGACCTGCCAAATGGTAAGTAAGAATTGTTCATTCTGTATTCATCCGTATCTTAATCACCAATATGGATCATTATGCACTCGGACACATTTATTCGAAAGTGTTGAATGATAACCTGTTCTGTTACACCTTTCCTACAGTGTTTCCTTTGTTTTGTATCGTCTCTTTGCCCGTATTGTCCGTATATAGCAAGAGAGAATGTTATAGGAAATCGATGAGATAGACAACCTATAATATTGATGATGTCACAGGTATTCAGTGTTTGACAACGCTTCTACCAGTAACACCTTCTAATATATTTCGTTCCCGCCCAGAGAAATCAAAAGACAGAGTCGAGGAGATCGGAAGAGTATATTTGGCGATGACCAATATATCGGAATTCTCTGATCAAATCTGGCTAGCGATTGCGGTTGATGTTGAGCACGGCGTAACCACACGTGATCTGGTGCGGATGCATGACCGAGCGCCTTCAGCTAGATGAGTCCACTAAAACATATGGTCAGCATCCAATGTCGAAAACATAGGGCTATTTATTTTGGGGATTTATTTACCGCTACAGATCACTCCCCCCCTAGTGGGGCAGTGACGACCCTAAGACGTGGCCAGCCAGAAGTTTAAACCCAACGAGTTTGTCGTTGGTAAACACTCTTCTGATAGCTTACTAAGTGTAGCAGCGTCTGGTCGTCTTTCCTTACTATATGGGACGGAGGTACAACATAGTAAAAAAAGGAAAATGTACAATGAAAATTTCGGATCCTCATAAACGTCATCGTTCCTTTTCCAGCCGTCCTGGAAAAGAAAAAAGAAAATGTAAGTGTATGTCGAAAATACACTCGTATGTGCGTAAAAACACAATGTCGGCGGAAAAAAAAAGGAAAATAAACTCATGAACACGTAATAGCGTTAAAAAAATGGTTTTTTTTGTTTTTTTTAAATAGAAATAAAAATATATAAGCATATTAAAATTTGTTTTTAAAAAAAATAATATAAAATGTCGAGAAGTGCCTTACGTACAATAGTCGTTTAAATGTTCTGGAAATCTTACTCTTCTTCCAGAACGCGTCGTTTTAGGTTTATTTTCAGATACATGCGGAGTATCATCGCTAGTATTGGTTGTCGGTTGAGGAATTACGAGTGGAGTCGTGTCGTTCGATTGTAACGAAGGAAAATCGACGTACATAGGATTTCCTTCTAAATACGCTGCTTTTAAGCGATCGATGCTGATGCTATCGTTGGTTCCGTTCTTATCGACTATATAGTACTTCGGTTCGCGTTGAAGGACTTTGAAGGGTCCTTCGTATGCTGATTCGAATGGTCGTCGATGCGAGTCTCGACGAACGAAAACGTGTGTACTATATCGTAAGTCAGGTTGAACGAAAACATCAGTTGATTGAGGTCGAGTGGAAGCAGGTTTAACTGAACGCATTGCGTTTGTAAGCCTGTTCGTGTAGGAGGTTAGATCCATGTTCATTGAAGAGGATGAAGGATCCACGAATTCTCCTGGAAGTCGAAGTGTCGTTCCATAAACGAGTTGAGCCGCAGTGTATCCAATGTCAGCTTTCACTGCATTGCGGATACCTAGTAAGACAAGTGGAAGAGCGTCGGTCCACTGTGAAACGTTTGCAGCTGATAGTGAAGCTTTTAGTTGTCGGTGAAAACGTTCTACCAACCCGTTTGCTTGTGGGTGGTAGGCGGTCGTTCGGAAGCGAGTGATTCCTAAAAGTGTGGTCAGACGACGGAAAAGTTCAGATTCAAACTGACGTCCGCGGTCTGTAGTGATAGTTGAAGGGCAACCGAACTTTGCTACCCATCGTTCGACGAAAGTGCGGGCCACTGTTTCAGCAGTGATGTCCTTGATAGGTACTGCTTCTGGCCATCGAGTGAAACGGTCTACGCAGGTTAAAAGGTAAGAGTATCCATTTGAATCTGGTAGAGGTCCTACCAAATCCAAATGGACATGGTCGAAACGAGCATCGGGAGTTTTAAACGAGCCTAAGGGACATTTATTGTGTCTGATGACCTTGGATTTTTGGCAGCTTACACAGGAGCGTGCCCACTCCCTCACGTCTTTATTCATTCCAGGCCAGCAAAACCGTTCTGCTATAAGCTTGATGGTTGCACGAACACCTGGATGCGAAAGTTTGTGCAATGTGTTGAAGACATTGCGTCGATAATGTTTCGGCACGATTGGGCGATCCCTACCTGTAGACTTGTCACAAAGTAAGGTTTCGTTACCTGTTCCCATCTGTTTGATGCGTAGTTTAAGTGTTGTGGACGATAACTCGTGCTGAAGATCAGTGTCTTCTTTTTGAAGCTGGGCGAGTTTAAGAAGGTCGACTCCTTGGAAACTGTTCAAGGAAGTTATGCGAGATAAAGCGTCTGCAACTACATTGTTTGCTCCAGAGATGTGTTGAATGTCTGAAGTAAACTGCGAAATGTAGTTCAGTTGTCGAGACTCACGGGGAGAGTACTTGTCAGAAGGAGAGCTTAACGAGAAAGTGAGCGGTTTATGGTCCGTGAAAAGAGTGAATTTTTCGTGCCTTAAGGTAACCCTCGTGCTATTGATAGAAGAAACCAGACAAGTAGTGAATAGGTCTTTATTTCGATCTTCGCGCAGTCACAGTGGAGCGTGGGATTATCTGTTCAGACAAACAAAGGCTCTCAACATTCAAGATAATAGGGAATATAACGCTTATAAAAAATAAGGAAGTGAATGAATACTTGAACAATACTGTTTTGGCATAAGCTTGGTTGTTTGGGGTCAACTCTTAACCAACCAACCTGAGCTGTTACATTAGCTTCCCCCTAGAATCGACTTCCGTAGGAACGTCAGTTCGATTAACCTAACTATCGAAAACACCTTAGTTCTATTTCTCATCCCAAGGGAAAATTATCAACTCGCTCACTATTTGACTTACAATCAGTGACGACTAACGCTGTCAACGATAGTCCATGGATGTCTCCTCATTTACTAGCTTGTCATCTTATGTATATATACGGCGCGCGATTGTTCACGAGTACTAATCGGCTTAATTTTAGACATGTGGTCCCGTAGTTGATCTACATAATTTTCTAAATTAAGTTTTTGACTGTTAGTATTGGGGTTAATAAATTCACCTGGTAGTCTCAGAGTTGTTCCGAAAACCAGTTCCGCAGCTGAACACTGTGCGTCAGTTTTGACAGATGTTCGTATTCCCAACATAACTAACGGTAGGAATTCTGTCCACTGATTGGGGTTTGAGTGAGATATAAGGGCGGTTTTTAGCTGACGGTGAAAACGTTCTACCATCCCATTAGCCTGAGGATGATATGCAGTGCAGCGTATCCTATTGGAGCCTAGAAGTTTAGCCAAGTTATTAAATAGTTCGGATTCGAATTGCGCTCCTCTATCCGTCGTTATTGTTATAGGTGTACCAAAAATGGTTACCCAGTTCTGCATGAAAACTTTGGCTACTGTTTCCGCTGTGATGTCCGCTATCGGGATGGCTATAGGGAATCTGGTAAATCGATCTATGCATGTAAAAAGATAATTAAAACCGATTGAACGTGGTAAAGGACCTACCAAGTCGATATGCACATGGGCAAAACGTGCATCTGGTTGCGAGAAAACACCTATGGGTGAATTTGTGTGACGATTAATCTTTGATTGTTGGCATGCTGAACACTCTCTAACCCATTTGTGTACATCCTTCTGTAAATTCGGCCATATATATCTGGCATTGATTAGTTTTGTTGAAGCTTTCGCGCCAGGATGAGACAAAGAATGAAAGTTATTATATATCAACTTTCGCATATTTTTGGGAACGAAAGGTCGCGGCATTGCCTTGGTCGTGTCACAATAAATTAGAATACCATCGATAGGTGATGGGAATTGTTTTAAATTAAGACTTGAATTGTTTGTTTTAAGTAGGTTTTGTAATTCTAGGTCCTGCTCTTGTTCGTGTCTTAACGTCTCGAAGTTTACTGTAGACTGCTGTAGCACGTTCATTTCTAGTCTGGATAAAGCATCTGCCGCCTGATTGTCCTGACCTTTGACATGTCGGATATCGCTTGTGAACTGTGATATATAGTCAAGGTGTCGGACTTCTCGAGGTGAGTATTTATCGGCTCTCGCTTTTAATGCATTCGTCAGAGGTTTGTGATCCGTAAAGACTATAAATTCCCTACCTTCTAACATGTGTCGGAAGTGTTTAATGGTCAGGTAGATTGCAAGAAGTTCTCGCCCGAAGGTAGAATACCTTGTTTCGGCTGGAGCGAGTCTTTTCGAGAAGAAAGCAATTGGTTTCCAGGCGTTTTTAACCAGTTGGTTAAGGGTACCGCCTACTGCTTTATCTGAAGCATCCACCATCAAAGCAAGTGGGGAAAGAGAATTCGGATATATCAACGTAGTTGCTTGAGCCAGTTTATCTTTAAGCTGTTTAATAGCTTCGATGGCGTCAGAAGACAGTTTGAATTCTTTTGGTTTTCCTTTAAGTGAATCTGTCAAAGGTTGCATTAATTGTGCACAACCTGGTATGAATCTGCGATAAAAGTTAATTAGGCCTAGAAAACTTCTCAGTTGTGTTAGAGAACTAGGTACGGGGTATTGTTTGATGGTATCCACTTCTTTTTTGATAGGTTTAATCCCTTCTGGGCTTATTGTGTGACCGAGAAATTCTAAAGTTTGAACACCGAAAACACACTTACTTTGATGTATGTTTATTCCATGTTCATCCAGTCTTTTCAACACTGCTTGTACATGTTGTTCGTGTGATTGCAAATCGGGGCTGGCAATTAACAAGTCGTCTATATACCCCTGCGCAAATGGCATATCACGAAGTAGGTTATCTATGAATCTTTGAAATGTCTGTGCCGCATTTCTCAGGCCGAATGGCATGCGTACAAACTCGAATAAGCCAAAGGGTGTAGTAATAGCTGTTTTGGGAATATCTTCATCAGCCACGGGGATATTGTGATATGCCCTGACTAAGTCAATTTTAGTGAATATGTTCATACCCTGTAAACCGTTGGTGAAATCTTGGATATGAGGTATTGGGTACCTATCTGGTACGGTTTGACGGTTTAGGGCTCTGTAATCCCCGCACGGTCGCCAGTCACCTTCATTCTTCTTTGGGACCATATGCAAAGGGGATGCCCATTGACTATCAGAGGGACGGATAATACCCAATTGTAGCATATAATCAAACTCAGCCCTAGTGATTTTGAGCTTATCTGGTGCTAGTCTCCTGGGTTTTGCAAACACCGGTGCACCTTCAGTTTTGATAGTGTGATTCACTTTTAGTTTGTCCTTAGAAGGCTGTGGGTTTGGTTTAGTTAAGTTTGGGAATTCCGCGAGTATATCTTAGAATTTCGCTGTTGTTACTGGGGGAGTTTGAATCAAGTTAAGAGAGCTGATGTGACTTTCTTTGCCTTTTGTGTAATACGAAGTTTCTTTTAGTGTTAATCGCCGTTTCTTGGTGTCAACTAGAAATTCATATCTCTCTAGAAAGTCCATCCCCAGTATTGCCAGATCTAAGTCGGCTACTGTTTTGGCATAAGCTTGGTTGTTTGGGGTCAACTCTTAACCAACCAAACTGAGCTGTTACAAATTCACGACCTTCGATGTAGTGTTGGAAATGCCGTACAGCACAATACATAGCTAGGAGTTCCCTACCGAATGTGCTGTACCTCGATTCGGTGTCTAGCAACCTTCTAGAGAAAAATGCCAAGGGTTGCCAGGAGTTGTTAACGCATTGTTGTAAGACTCCTCCGATTGCTGAGTCGGATGCGTCTACTGCGATGCTAATGGGAGCTCGGGTGTCCTGATGTGCGAGCATTGTTGCTTTAGCAATCAGTTCCTTAACTGTGGAGAATGCTTTTCTTGCGGTGTCGTCCAAATGAATGGATTTCGCATTTCCACGAAGTTGGTCGGTCAGAGGTTTCATAAGTAATGCGCATTTGGGTATGAAACGTCTATAGAAACTTACCAGGCCGTTAAACGTGCGCAATTGCTTGACGGTGGTCGGTTCTGGGTAATCCAGAATGGCCGCCACTTTGGTTCTAAGGGGTCGAATGCCTTGAGCATCGATAGTGTGTCCTAGGAAGTCTAACGAGTCGGTTCCGAATTGGCATTTCTGAACGTTTACCGTTATGCCATGTTTTTGTAGTCGTTCGAAAACAAGATCCAGATGCTTGAGATGTGTTTCTCTGTCCGGACTTGCGATTAGACAGTCATCAACATACGCGTGTACGAAGTTGAGACCTCGAAAAACATCGTCTATGAATCTTTGGAATGTTTGAGCAGCATTCCTTAGACCGAAAGGCATACGCAAAAATTCATAGAGTCCGAAAGGAGTTATGATAGCTGTTTTCGGTATGTCGTCAGTAGCCATAGGGATTTGGTTATACGCTTTAACCAAGTCGATTTTCGAAAAGACAGTTGTACCTTTCAAGGTAGCTGTCAAATCGTGAATGTGAGGCAACGAGTAACGATCGGGAATGGTTTTCGCGTTCAATCGCCGATAGTCACCAGTTGGACGCCAATCGTTGCTGTCCTTTTTAGGGACCATGTGCAACGGAGATGCATATGGGCTACTTGACGGTCGTATGATTCCTAAATCCATCATGTGATCGAATTCGTTTTTCGCTAACCTTAGCTTTTCGGGAGCTAGTCGTCGTGCTTT